ACATGTTTAGAGTCTTTGTACAAACAGGTTCACTCAAGTCGACTGATTCAAAACCGTTTAAGTTCATTTACAGAACAGAGCGTCGTGTCGTCATCAGCGTCACATCCTCCAGTTATTCACAGAGTTTGGTGAGTGTTGGAGTCCAGGTGAGTCCAGGTGAGTCCAGGTGAGTCCAGGTGAGTCCAGCCGAGTCCGGCCGAGTCTCGGCAGAGTCCGGCCGAGTCTCAGCAGAGACCTTCTGTGAGGCTGCTGAGAGTCTGGAGCCCGCCCCCTGCAGGTGCTCCTCTGTCAGCGCAGGTCACAGGAGTCACAGGGGTCACAGGGGTCACAGAGGAGAAGCTCAGGGTCAGTGTGACCTCGTGAGGATCCTCATGAACCACAGCAGAGACCAACTGCAACAAAACAACAAGAACTCAGAAGAAGAAGAAAAAGAAGAAGAACGACGGAGGAGAGGAGCGACTGACTCGTCCGAGGCGCGGTTCTCCCAGCAGTGTCCTGAAGGGGGCGTGGTTCTGGGCGTGGCTCCTCAGGTGAGCACACACATGGTCCACCTGCTGCCTCCAGAACCCTGAGGAACACAACGAGAGAACCCTGAAGAACACGAAAAAACCCTGAGGAACACAACGAGAGAACCCTGAGGAACACAACGAAAGAACCCTGAGGAACACAACGAGAGAACCCTGAGGAACACAACGAAAGAACCCTGAAGAACACAAAAGAACCCTGAAGAACACAACAACGAGAGAACCCTGAGGAACACAACGAGAGAACCCTGAGGACCACAATGAGAACCCTGAAGAACACAACGAGAGAACCCTGAAGAATACAACGAGAGAACCCTGAAGAACACAACGAGAGAACCCTGAAGAACACAACGAGAGAACCCTGAAGAACACAACGAGAGAACCCTGAAGAACACAACGAGAGAACCCTGAGGAACACAACGAGAGAACCCTGAAGAACACGAAAGAACCCTGAAGAACACAACGAGAGAACCCTGAAGAACACAACGAGAGAACCCTGAAGAACACAACGAGAGAACCCTGAAGGAACACAACGAGAGAACCCTGAGGACCACAATGAGAACCCTGAAGAACACAACGAGAGAACCCTGAAGAACACAACGAGAGAACCCTGAAGAACACAACGAGAGAACCCTGAAGAACACAACGAGAGAACCCTGAGGACCACAATGAGAACCCTGAAAAACACAACGAGAGAACCCTGAAGAACACAACGAGAGAACCCTGAAGAACCCAACAAGAGAACCCTGAGGAACACAACGAGAGAACCTTGAAGAACCCAACGAGAACCCTGAGGAACACAACGAGAGAACCCTGAGGAACCCAACAAGAGAACCCTGAGGAACACAACGAGAGAACCTTGAAGAACCCAACGAGAGAACCCTGAAGAATACAACGAGAGAGAGGGGGCGGGGCAGAGTGTGAGGGGGCGGGGCAGAGTGTGAGGGGCGGGGCAGAGTGTGAGGGGGCGGGGACACTGACCTCTCCCAGGGCTGACCCCGCCCCTCGGCCTTGGCTTCCTCTGGGTCTGGTTCTGGTTCTGGTCCTGGTTCTGGTTCTGGTTCTGGTCCTGGTTCTGGTTTGGTTTGGGTCTCAGAGCAGTGGCTGATGGGAAGTAGAGTCCTACAGTCTGAGTGCTCTGCTCGGACGTGGGCGGAGCCTGGAACAAAACCACAACAACTTTATTTATAAAGCACTTTCAAAACTACGGTCGCACAAATACTGCACACAAACACACACAAACTGCACACACACAAACACACAAACACACACATACACATACACACACACATACACACACAAATGCACAAAAACTGCACACACACAAACACACACACACAAACATACACACACAAACACACACACACAAACACACACTCCACACACACAAACACACACACACACAAACACACACACACAAACACACACTCCACACACACAAACACACACACACACAAACACACACTCCACACACACAAACACACACACACACAAACACACACACAAACACACAAACACACACAAACAAACACACAAACACACACAAACACACACACACACACACACACAAACACACACACAAACACACAACAAACACAAACACAACACAAACACACAAACAGACACAGTCACAACAGAACAACAAAAAACCTGAAAACCTGAGTGTGACCTGAATGTGACCTGAGAGTGACCTGAGTGTGACCTGAGAGTGACCTGAGTATGACCTGAGTGTGATCTGAGTGTGACCTGAGAGTGACCTGAGTGTGATCTGAATGTGACCTGAGTGTGACCTGAGAGTGACCTGAGTGTGATCTGAGTATGACCTGAAAGTGACCTGAGTATGACCTGAGTCTGATCTGAGTGTGACCTGAGAGTGACCTGAGTATGACCTGAGTGTGACCTGAGTGTGACCTGAGTGTTAAAAACAGGTGAGATTGTTTGGTGTTTCCAGGTTCTGTTAAAACTCGAGTCATTGGTTCTTGAGCTGCTGCAAACGGAAAAGTGAAAAGTGAAGAACAATAAACTAATGTGACGTCGTGTGACAGTGTGTGTGTGTGTGTGTGTGTGTGTGGGGGGGGGGGGGGGTCTGTGTGTGTGTGTGTGTGTGTGTGTCCACTGTGTGTCAGATGCCCTCCCTCCTCCTGACCTGATTGGCTGCTGGGCTGTCTGTGGGCGGAGCTCTGAAGCCACAGGTGGAGCAGAAGGGGGCGGAGCTGAGTGTAAAGGCTCCACACCTCCCACAGGGGGCGCCGCTCCCGCCGTCACACAACACACACCTGGAGTGGGCGGGGCCAGCGGCGCCACACGCACACAGGGGCGGAGCCTGGAACATAAAGAGGAGGAGTTACGTACCTGAACTGTCAAGTCTGACCTGGGTTCAGTGGATTCAGCTCGTTCACTCACAGCACTGAACGACTTTAGACTCACCCTTTAGACTCACACTTTAGAGTCACACTTTAGAGTCACACTTTAGAGTGACACTTTAGACTCACACTTTAGACTCACACTTTAGATTCACACTTTAGAGTCACACTTTAGAGTGACACTTTAGACTCACACTTTAGACTCACACTTTAGATTCACACTTTAGACTCACAGACAGGTGCAGGGCGCTCTGGGGGCGGAGCTGTGGAGCGAGTGACGCGTCACAAACGAAACACGACTCAGAACAAACAGGAACCGGAGAATGACAGAACACGCACGACATCATCTGAAAGACAGACAGAGAGAGAGGCAGGTGCAGGGGCAGGTGCAGGGGCAGGGGCAGGTGCAGGGGCGGGTGCAGGGGCAGGTGCAGTACCTGTGTTCTCTCTGGGGGGGGCGCTGCAGGGGGGATTGGGCCGAGTCGAGCTCCACACAGACAACAGAAAACAGCTGCAGGGTCTGAGACTCTGAGCCCGAGACACTGAGAACACCTGCAAGAACCAGAGACACCTGACACACACGAGGGCACCTGACACACACGAGGGCACCTGACACACACACAAGAGCACCTGACACACACGAGAGCACCTGACACACACACACACGAGAGCACCTGACACACACACGAGACACTGACACACACGAGGGCACCTGACACACACGAGAGCACCTGACACACACGAGAGCACCTGACACACACACACACGAGAGCACCTGACACACACACACACACACACAGAGAGCACCTGACACACACACACACGAGAGCACCTGACAGACACACACACGAGAGCACCTGACACACACACACACGAGAGCACCTGACACACACACACACAGAGAGCACCTGACACACACCACACACGAGAGCACCTGACACACACCACACACACGAGAGCACCTGACACACACACACACGAGAGCACCTGACACACACACACACGAGAGCACCTGACACACACACACACGAGAGCACCTGACACACACACGAGAGCACCTGACAGACACACGAGAGCACCTGACACACACACGAGAGCACCTGACAGACACACGAGAGCACCTGACACACACACGAGAGCACCTGACACACACACACACGAGAGCGCCTGACACACACGAGAGCACCTGACACACACACGAGAGCACCTGACACACACACGAGAGCACCTGACACACACACGAGAGCACCTGACACACACACGAGAGCACCTGACACACACCACACACACACACGAGAGCACCTGACACACTGACACACACACGAGAGCACCTGACAGAGCACCTGACACACACGAGAGCACCTTGACACACACACACACGAGAGCACCTGACACACACACGAGGAGCACCTGACACACACACACACGAGAGCACCTGACACACACGAGAGCACCTGACACACACACACACGAGAGCACCTGACACACACACGAGGGCACCTGACACACACGAGAGCACCTGACACACACGAGAGCACCTGACACACACACATGAGGGCACCTGAAACACACACACACACGAGGGCACCTGACACACACACATGAGGGCACCTGACACACACACATGAGAGCACCTGACACATGGGGGGAGGGACCTGACACACGGGGAGGGACCTGACACACGGGGAGGGACCTGACACACGGGGGGACCTGACACACGGACCTTGACACACGGGGGGAGGGGACCTGACACACGGGGGAGACACACGGACCTGACACACGGGGGGGACCTGGGACCTGACACACGGGGGAGGGACCTGACACACGGGGGGACCTGGGGGGACCTGACACACGGGGAGGGACCTGACACACGGGGGGGACCTGACACACGGGGGGGGACCTGACACACACGGGGGGACCTGACACACGGGGGAGGGACCTGACACACGGGGGGGACCTGACACACGGGGGGGGACCTGACACATGGGGGGGGGGGACCTGACACACGGGGGGGACCTGACACACAGGGGCATCACCTCATAAAATCTGTGTCTCTCTGGATTCGGTTCTTCTCAGTTCTGCTCAAAGTCTTCAGGAAAAACTGAAACAAAAAGAACCAGAACTAAACCAGGACTAAAACAGGACTAGACCAGGACTAAACCAGAACTAAACCAGAACTAAACCAGGACTAGACCAGGACTAAACCAGGACTGAACCAGGACTAAACCAGGACTAGACCAGGACTAAACCAGAACTAAACCAGAACTAAACCAAGACAAAACCAGGACTGAACCAGGACTAAACCAGAACTAAACCAGGACTAAACCAGAACTAAACCAGGACTAAACCAGGACTAAACCAGGACTAAACAGGACTAAACCAGGACTTACGGAGTCTTCTGGTCTGAGGAAACCTGAAGGACTTGTGTTGATCTTCAGGGTCTGATCTGGAGACCTCGTCTTCGTCTGAGTCCTCAGACCTGAAGTCCTCAGACCTGAGGCTACATGAGAAACACCAGAACATTTGAACAAACAGAACCTGGTCTGGACCTGGACCGGGTCTGGACTGGGTCTGGTCCGGGTCTGGACCTGGTCTGGACCTGGACCGGGTCTGGACCTGGTCTGGACCTGGTGTAAACATTTAGTTTTATAAAAGTCAAAAACAATAACATGATTTTTGTTTCCTCCCTCCTTGTTTCCTCTCCTCTTTTTGTCTCCTTGTCTCCTCCGTCCTCACCTGAGCGCTTCTGTCCACAGGAAGTGGACGTCTGGGGACAGGAAGTGGCGTGTGAGCTCTGCGGGTGAGAGGGCGGGGCCGGAGCGGGCTGTGCTTCGCTCTCATTGGTCAGCGTAATCAGAGGAGGGCTGTGATTGGTCGAATCAGAGGTGACATCATCCACTGTGAAGAACTTGGTCACGACCGAACTCTCCCTGAAATCACTGAAACACAGTCCAGGTTTAGACCTGGTTTAGTTCTGGTTTAGTCCTGGTTTAGTCCTGGTTTAGACCTGGTTTAGTCCTGGTTTAGACCTGGTTTGTCCTGGTTTAGTCCTGGTTTAGTCCTGGTTTAGTCCAGGTTTAGACCTGGTTTAGTTCTGGTTTAGTCCTGGTTTAGTTCTGGTTTAGACCTGGTTTAGTTCTGGTTTAGTCCTGGTTTAGTCCTGGTTTAGACCTGGTTTAGTCCTGGTTTAGACCTGGTTTAGTCCTGGTTTAGACCTGGTTTGTCCTGGTTTAGTCCTGGTTTAGTCCTGGTTTAGTCCAGGTTTAGACCTGGTTTAGTTCTGGTTTAGTCCTGGTTTAGTTCTGGTTTAGACCTGGTTTAGTTCTGGTTTAGTCCTGGTTTAGACCTGGTTTAGTCCTGGTTTAGACCTGGTTTGTCCTGGTTTAGTCCTGGTTTAGTCCTGGTTTAGACCTGGTTTAGTCCTGGTCCAGACCTGGTCCAGACCTGGTCCTGGTCAGGTTTAGTCCTGGTGTAGTCCTGGTATAGTCCTGGTCCAGACCTGGTCCTGGTCAGGTTTAGTTCTGGTGTAGTCCTGGTTTAGTCCTGGTCCAGACCTGGTCCTGGTCAGGTTTAGTCCTGGTGTTAGTCCTGGTGTAGTCCTGGTCCAGACCTGGTCCTGGTCAGGTTTAGTCCTGGTGTAGTCCTGGTGTAGTCCTGGTGTAGTCCTGGTGTAGTCCTGGTGTAGTCCTGGTCCAGACCTGGTCCGGGTCTGGGCTCGCACACACACTCGTCCTGGGGGGAGGGTGAAGGGTTTCGTGTATTTTCTGGAGCTGGACTTTGGTTTGGATCCGTCCAACGTGAAGAAGACCTCAGCGTCCGGGGACTCTGTGGACCAGACCAAGACCGAGACCGGGATCAAGACCGAGACTGAGACCGAGACCGGGATCAAGACCGAGACTGAGACCGAGACCGGGATCAAGACCGAGACTGAGACCGAAACCAGGGTCAGGACCAAGACCAGGTCAAGACCTTGATCAAAATCAGGATCAGTCCTAGTTCCTGGTTTAGTTCTGGGTTGGTCCTGGTTTAGTTCTGGGTTAGTCCTGGTTTAGTTCTGGGTTAGTCCTAGTTTAGTTCCGGGTTAGTCCTGGTTTAGTTCTGGGCTGGTACCTGACTGCAGACAGATCCAGGTCTTGGTCTGGGTTGGTTCTGGTTTAGTTCTGGGTTAGTCCTGGTTTAGTTCTGGGTTATTCCTGTTAGTCCTGGTTTAGTTCCGGGCTGGTCCTGGTTTAGTTCTGGCTTAGTCCTGGTTTAGTTCTGGGTTAGTCCTGGTTTAGTTCTGGGTTAGTCCTGGTTTAGTTCTGGGCTGGTCCTGGTTTAGTTCTGGGCTGGTCCTGGTTTAGTTCTGGGTTAGTCCCTGGTTTAGTTCCGTGCTGGTCCTGGTTTAGTTCTGGGCTGGTCCTGGTTTAGTTCCGGGTTAGTCCTGGTTTAGTTCTGGTTGGTACCTGACTGCAGACAGAATCCTGGTTTAGTTCTGGGTTGGTCCTGGTTTAGTTCTGGGTTAGTCCTGGTTTAGTTCTGGGTTAGTCCTGGTTTAGTTCTGGGTTAGTTCTGGGTTAGTCCTGGTTTAGTTCCGGGCTGGTCCTGGTTTAGATTCTGGGCTGGTCCTGGTTTAGTTCTGGGTTAGTCCTGGTTTAGTTCTGGGTTAGTCCTGGTTTAGTTCTGGGTTGGTCTTGGTTTAGTTCCGGGCTGGTCCTGGTTTAGTTCTGGGCTGGTCCTGGTTTAGTTCTGGGTTAGTCCTGGGTTAGTTCTGGGTTAGTTCTGGGTTAGTCCTGGTTTAATTCTGGGCTGGTCCTGGTTTAATTCTGGGCTGGTCCTGGTTTAGTTCTGGGTTAGTCCTGGTTTAATTCTGGGCTGGTCCTGGTTTAGTTCTGGCTGGTTTAGTTCCTGGTTTAGTTCTGGGTTAGGTCTGCTGGTTTTAGTTCTGGGTTGGTCCTGGTTTAGTTCTGGGTTGGTCCTGGTTTAGTTCCGGGTTGGTCCTGGTTTAGTTCCGGGTTGGTCCTGGTTTAGTTCCGGGTTGGTCCTGGTTTAGTTCCGGGTTGGTCCTGGTTTAGTTCTGGGTTGGTCCTGGTTTAGTTCTGGGCTGGTCCTGGTTTAGTTCTGGGTTGGTCCTGGTTTAGTTCTGGGTTGGTCCTGGTTTAGTTCTGGGTTGGTCCTGGTTTAGTTCTGGGTTGGTCCTGGTTTAGTTCTGGGTTGGTCCTGGTTTAGTTCTGGGCTGGTCCTGGTTTAGTTCTGGGTTGGTCCTGGTTTAGTTCCGGGTTGGTCCTGGTTTAGTCTGGGTGGTCCTGTTTAGTTCTGGGTTCCTGGTTTAGTTCCGGGTTGGTCCTGGTTTAGTTCTGGGCTGGTCCTGGTTTAGTTCCGGGTTGGTCCTGGTTTAGTTCTGGGCTGGTCCTGGTTTAGTTCCGGGCTGGTCCTGGTTTAGTTCCGGGTTGGTCCTGGTTTAGTTCCGGGTTGGTCCTGGTTTAGTTCCGGAGTTCCTGGTCCTGGTTTAGTTCTGGTTGGTCCCTGGTTTAGTTCTGGGCCTGGTCCTGGTTTAGTTCTGCACTGGTCCTGGTTCAGTTCCTGTCAGACTGCACCTGGTTAGTTCTGGGTTGGTCCTGGTTTAGTTCTGGGTTGTCACTGGTAAAATAAAACCGTCTTAGTCTGGGCTGGTTCAGTGGTTTCAGTCCTGGGTCCTGGTTCCTGGTTTAGTCCTGGGTTGGTCCCTGGTTCAGTCCTGGTTTAGTCCTGGTTTAGTCCTGGTTTAGTCCTGGTTTAGTCCTGGTCCTGGTTTAGAAAATCATGTGACTCACGGACCAAAATCCAAAACACCAAAGAAACTGAAATGTTCCTGAAAACCTGAAGCGGTTGTTATTGTTTTGTCGTCTCCATGGCGACCGGACTCACCGCGCATGCGCACTAACGATCACAAACAGAAACGATAAAGATTCAAAAATCCAAACTTTTCCCCGGTAAAATTAACAATAAAGTGACATTTTTTATCTGGATTTCTTCGGTTTGAGTTTCAGTTTTGAATTTTCGTGGAAATGTTGTGAAATGTTGAAGTGTTTTAGCTCCGGATGCTAATGATGCTATCAGCCGGCGTTAGCATTACGGCTAAGCGGTTTAATTGATGAAAAACGCGTCTCTCCGCTCATATAAAAGTTTAAAACGTCGCGGTTTAGGCGCTGAAATGAACCGCACTTTTAAAAATGGGAATTAAACGTAAAAAACTGAAATTATTAGTTTTGTTTATTTTCTTATTTTTGCTCAGGCGGTGTTCTGGGCAGCCGCAGAGTCACGTGGTTCCGGTCACACCAGAGTCTCACGAACACGCTGTTTACGGGACAAACCGAGACAAACCGGGACAAACAGGGACCAGACCGAGACCAGACCGAAGCAGAGCCGCGGAAGAACCGGAGTTTCACGAACACGCTGTTTACGGGACAAACCGAGACAAACAGGGACAAACCAGGGGATAACACCAGACAAACGGGTCCAACCCGACACCAGACCGAGACAAACAGGGACACACCGGGACCAGACCGAGTCCAGACCGAGTCCAGAGCCTGGGAGGACCGGAGCGGGGGGGGGCGGCGGACATGGCCGAAGTGAAAGTGAAGAAAGAGAAGGACGTGCTGGATCCCGCGGAGGTGGAGAAAAGGTGAGACCCGGACACACACTGAGACCCGGACACACACTGAGACCCGGACACACACTGAGACCCGGACACACACTGAGACCCCTGACCGTTTGTGTGTTTCAGGATCAGGTCGTTGTGTGTTTGTGTGTTTGTGTGTTCATGTTGTGCGTTTGTGTGTTTCAGGATCAGGTCGTTGTGTGTTTGTGTGTTTGTTCATGTTGTGCGTTTGTGTGTTTCAGGATCAGGTCGTTGTGTGTTTGTGTGTTCATGTTGTGCGTTTGTGTGTTTCAGGATCAGGTCGTTGTGTGTTTGTGTGTTCATGTTGTGCGTTTGTGTGTTTCAGGATCAGGTCGTTGTGTGAACAGTTTCCTCACGGTATCACTGATCATGTGATTCAGAACGATATGCCTCATCTGGAGCCGCAGCAGAGAGCGGCCGCCATCAACAAACTGCTCTCTGTGGTAAGACCCGGACCGAGACTAAGACTGGGA